TTGAGCATGTCCTATCACAACTTCACAATTTTTCTGCAGCAAGCATTCTGCACTCTACAGCAGAACAAGAAACACAAGATCATAGTGATTCACCTCTTTTGACTAGAACACAGCAGACTGGAAGCAGACAGTAATGGGGAAGTACTCTTTAATAAATAGGAAGAAATTAAAACAGATCATAATTGTTTGTGTTTCCATCACACAGCTCATTGAGAAATGTTAATAAAACTTGTAACTCTGTTGACTAAAGTGGCCTTGCCCAACTTGGCAATCTCCAAATGGATTACATCCCAGCCAGTATGACCAGTGATGGCTGAGATATAGTAAGAGTTGTAATTCAGCACACTTGGAGACCATCATGTTAGAAAGCAGCTAAACCTATGTATTTGAGCAAATAAAAGATGTAGGCAGGTGGAGTTGCTAGGAAGGAGAGAATGTATTCCTCTGTAGCGCTTTCATTTTAAATATCACTCACCTGGGCTGTTTATGTACATATGGATGGGTTTTTTGTTGCTTTCTGACTGCAAGAAAAGCAGTTGTGCAATGACCAAGCTTGCAATACCATCATCAATCTGTACAGAGATCACACAAAGCAATGAATTATAGCATGAATTGTAAATTCAATTTCCCAGTCTCTTTGCTTTCTTTGAAGTGGCCAGATCAAAGCTAAAAAGGGAATCTCACCAGCTCAGTCACTCTGAACAGAGAGAAGCTGGCTTCAAGATGGTGGCCCAGATCCAGGCCTCCAAAGGAATACATTGTTTAAAATTCAAGTGACATTTTAAAAAGTGAATAATTGGAAATCAGTTTCCTAAGGAAAGCCAATACTACATGTCCTTAGAGCTTTAAAAAAGGAAGAAATTAATATTATGGTAAAAAATACTCCATATCCTGCACTATATATGCTTATGCAAAACTTTGCTTATTTTTTTAAGTCTGCATAATTTCCTCTTGATTTGCTAGTTATGGAGTAGCCTAAGACTTGTCTGTTGGTATGAGGAAGCTTCCTCAAGATATTTTTCTGGGTGCTCAGATTTCAGCAAGCATCACCCACATGTTTTTTATTTATGAATAGTAGAAACCTATTCAGTATAAACAACAAGTTCCTCAAAAATTGGACAGTCTGGTCTTATTGCCTACTCTGGAAGTATTTCTTATACATACCGGTCCCATCACACAGACAATGCGCTCTCTCAGAAGGCGAGAGTAGATGTCATAGGCTCGCTCACCACGGCCCTGAAAAAGATTAAAGGTCAGGACAAGTACATTCCAGATACAAGAGTGGAGAAGAGCCCTGATATCTTGCAAGAGGACTCTGATGCTACCTCAAATAAACTGTTTCCTGCCGCTCAGGTTAACTGAGGCAAGATTCTTCGCATACAAATAGAATTAAGCAGCCCTGAAAGGTATCAATGGAGCTATGTAGAAAGGAATTGAAAGAAGGATCAATGATCAAAACAGATCCTACTATCAAGAATTCTTAAGCAGAGTTGGTGCATTTTCTGTCATCCTGGTAACTGGATGTTTCATTTTCGATTCTTCTTTTTGTGACAATGAAAGGCAATATAAGACAAAATATACAGGCAATAATTGATCTCATCATTTAGTAAGGAACATTTCATCAAGGAACATAAAGAAAATGGAATGGCAGATCAGTCTATTTGCAATAATATTTAATTTTTTAAAGAATTTTCTAGTTATTACATCTCCATTAATTTTGCATTGATGTGTCCACACCAGCATGTTTCAACTGTTCCCCTTTTCCCCAATGACTTGCCATGTGCCTGAAGTAAAATGTTACCTATCAACAGAAAGTAGTCATATTTAGAAAATGATACCCACTTACCGTCTGTTCCACTACAATAGGGATGAGAGGAATGTAACTCCTGGGAGTTTGATGGAGCTTCCGGGACAAAGAGAGGCTGTGGCATCCCAGCCGTATAGAGTGCTACGAAGAAGAATGAGTAGTTAAAATACATTGTCATTTTTTACCATTTCTGATCTGTCATCTCAGCCTGATTCTCACTCCTAGTTAGGTCTCTTTCTCAAAAGATAATAGGTGCATACAAACACAAATTCACATCCTGAAAGTGAGGGGAGCAAAATACCTTGCCTCAGTGAAAAGGCTTCAAAGAGCTAAGCAAAAAATTAGTTCTCTGGGTTATTAAAAAACCTAATGCGCTGTTTTAAATCAATTTGTATGCCACCTGACTTACCAAAGTAACTCTAACCTACCAATGTAATTCTGGCATACTATCTAGAAGGGCAGAAAAGTATTTATGAGAAGGATGACACCATGTATAAACAAATCAGATGTATATCAAATTATTCCCATAATTCTCATCTGCACAGTGAGAGCTGAGAAAAAGTAGTCTAAGAACCTCTAATTACATTGTATGCTTGTATATTTGAATACTTGTATACTTGAAGATTTGAAATTTCAAGAAAATAAAGAATACCTTCTTGCACCATATTATCTATGCTGCCACAAAAAGCGGGAACCATTAGATGAGGATCTTCAAAGAGATTAAACAAAACTACAGAACTATAAAAAGCTACAGGGAAATAGTATGTACCAGCTTCTATAAAATGTGCCAGCATAATTGGAATATGACTATACCGATGCAGTGTATATTACTACGGGGCTGGGGTGGGGTGGGATGGGGGTGTAAAGATTCATTTCATATCCTGCTTCTGGTTTTCAGAAACATCTGACCAGTAATACTTGGAAACTAGATGATAGGGAGAGTGAGATTTGATTGGTTTAAATATATTTGTAATTATTTAACGCCAATTCTTATTTTCCAGAATACTTCAGTAAATTCAAGGACGGGAATGTCTCGCACCAAAGATCTTTTCAACAGCTTATCTCCCACTCTACTTCCCCCACCTGAGCGCCCTAGGTCAATGCTAAATGCGACCCGCTCCCGCAAAGCTTTCTACACATGCATTTGCCCTCACCACTATTCTCTGCAGCATTCTGCCCCGGAAGATCTTTCCTTTGATGCTTCCCACGTGTTAGGAAGCGGGGTGGAGTATAATCGCAATCCGTCCCAGGCGCCGCGTCGCGATGTATCATGGGAAATGTAGTGCCAGCGGCCTAGAGGCTAATATAACTTGCTTGCTTTTTCATCGCCTTCGCTTAGTAAAAGAGCATTTCAGTTTTTCACAAATGTAAATAGGCGCCTCCAGATTCTCGGACACATGTTGAGCTATCTTCGTTCGTAGAGGTTTTTTTTATTGTAACATTTATTTATAGAAAGGGCATTTACTGTGTATCGGCAAACGTAAGCCATATGCATGGTTACAGAACTCAAAAAGTGTAAAAGGATCGATAGAAGAGGATCGCAATCTTTCTTGTGGTGTTCTTCTTCTTCTCACCATAAGTAATCGTGTCTAGAGTCTCCTGCACACAATTTTTTCCTTCCTCAACTCCAAAGATTTTTTTATTTCACAATAACGATCATACCCAGAAAATGCAAACATTACTGTGGTGGTTAGATGTACCTGGTAGCAGAAACTGCAGAAGCACCTCAGTGAATATCTCGAATTAGACTCAGAAAGCAACTACCAATCAATGCTGTTGTTTTAACAAGTGATGACATTACACTCCAGTATGGTCTCTCTTCTCCAACTTAAGGGTGCAGTTAGTTTACCCACCAAGCTGATAAAAAGTCAGCCTTGTGGCTGTCTAGCAAAAATGTCAGATCTGGGAGAAACTGTTCTTTAAGGGGAAATTTAGCCACTTCCAAAATAGCCAGGTTCCTTGAACTCTGAAATCTAGCCCCTGAAATTAACAGCAATTCAATTTTGTCCAAATTTAACCAGCCTTTTTCCCACATTCAACCCCAGCGCTCTGGAGATACCCATGTCAGAGTTTCAGGAAATATTATGTACTTTACTGGTAGTGTCCCACTCCAAACTCGTATATCAACCATTACTTTTCAACAGCTTTATATAGATATTTGATAATATGGTAGATAAGAAAGATCTTGAGGATAATCTTTCCCTGGAGAAGTCCCAAAGTACAGTATTGATAGCATCCAATCTGGTATGAGCAGAATAATTATAAAGCAATGCCTCTAACATTCAACTCCCTCCAGTGCTCCCAAAAGATTCCATGATCTAAGAAACCCAGGAATCAGATGGAAGAAGGCCAGGATCATTCTCTCTCTCCCTCCCTCTCTCTCTCTCTCTCTCTCTCTCTCTCTCTCTCTCTCTCTCTCTCTCTCTCTCTCTCTCGCCTGCTGCTGGTCAACCCTGGGGCTGAATCTAAACCAGAAAAGATGTTTCTAAGACAGGAATGCACAGCTGGAGGGGTATGCCAAGCTTTTTGCAGTATATCGAGGTCCACTTTCCAAAAACATACCAGGGGTTCCTTAGGAAGAGGTTTTACAGTTTCAAAAGGTGGTTTGGGCTTTCCTGTTTTGTTTGTTTTACTGTTTTTATTTCATTGTTTCTACATATCATTTTTATCCTTGGATTGTGAGCTAATCAGAGTTTGGTTTAAAATGGGCAGCAATATAAGTGTTTTAAATAAATAAATTGGGATGATTCAAGAGTCAGAATGGAACAGAACAGACTTAAATGGGCACTTCAGAAATAGTTAGAATTAGGGTTACGGATAAATGACCACAATATGTAAGAATTGCAACTCTTATGACATTATGGTTTTGTTAACTGCTCAATGTTCAGAAACTTTTTGGAATGTAGTACCACTATGAAATCCAGATCTGAAATCCAGATCCAGCCCAGCAGTCAAGCAGGCCTAGAAAATCTTGATGTGATAAGACCCAGAATTTACAAAAGAATTCATATTCTGAGCAGAAATCCATTTTGTGGAATAGGATCTCTAATGGTTTCTCAAATACAGACTTTTGCTCAGAATAAGTACCTGAATGACTCTATGCCTATTGGCACCCTCTGGTTTCTGGAATTGGCTAAATGTATTTCCTGTGCAGAAGGGATTCAGGACACTTTATTTTGTGTTATAACTTTCATATATATATTTCAGGCAGAAACTTAATAGAGTTTAATCAAAGAAAAATTTCTCTCAGGGTGCTAGGCTATTACAAATAATTATTCCTCATATTATAAAGTTCTTGTTCCTGGTCAGATTCATTTTTCAGTTCTCATCATTGGTCAAGGCCAAAAAGCCTGGGATATTCTTGATGCTTGTCATAGTTTTCTTTCTGCAAATCCAAGACAAAGGAAATAACATTATGATGCAATCTGCTCCTCATGTAACAATTCCATGTAAGGAGAGCAACAGAAAAGCTCTCGCTCTGCAACAGTTCCTGTTTATCATACATTCAGCCCACAGATCATAGAACACAGTGATAATTCAAAATGTAGGTCTGTAATCAAGGTCAGAATACGCCCTCCTACATTTCACAGATAGGCTTCTGTCTTGCAAACCTGTTCTCATCCCAGAATTCACATCTCAATACATCCCAGCAACAAGTAATAAAGGGAAATTTCCAACCTCTGAAATGCTGTTCTGCCACATATAATAATTTATTCAGAGCTTGTTGCAATAGCCTGTATTCATGAGCTAAACAAAAGGCTGCTGCTACTGTGCTTTATGCTGCCTTCAGAAGGAAGAAGGCTTTCCAATGCACCAGCAATAAAAATTTTCTGTTGACTTGCAGCTATAAAACATGCTTACTGTTCAAGCATAGGCAACAACCTTATCTTTCAAACAAGATATTGCAGTGGGAAAGAAGAAAACATTGTAATAAAGAATTTCATACACCTGTTTTATGGTCTTAGCCTCTTGAAGAGGAACAAAAAGTAAAACAAGACACAGTATATGGAACTTTACTCTGAGAACCAAAAATGTTCCTTTTTGTTTTCTCCTCCTCTCTAGTTACATTCAATCCCACAAAAATAAAGATGTGCAAAAGCCAGCTAGTGCAGCTTTCTACAAGCTGGTGTCTTATGAGTTAACTGGGTTTCAGTGCATTTCTTAGTTTCTAAGTCTCTTATGAAACCTGTGGATTATGAACATTGAAATCCAGTATTTCAAGAGCACATTACATTGTAGAAATTATGAATAAATATTTTTGCTTCTAAATAGCTAGATTCCCATAACACATGTAGCAGTTACTTAATTAACCCAACTTTCTAGATTTACAAGACACCCTGAAGTGTAAAGCAGGAATATAGGATGTGTATACAAGACAAACTTGCATACAAGTTTCTGATAATAGTATGTCATGCAAAGTCAGTGTCTGCATGTAGCTGAAGCTGCTATTAAAGACTTGGCAATTTTAGGTAGGCAAGGTAGACTTTGAGCAGACCTTTGTAAAGCTTCACAGTAAACAAGCTTATAGTATTCATTAAGTCCTAGGAAGAGCCGGGAAATACACATCATCCAAAGTCCAAAAAACTGCATGAGTCGTTACAAACTATAAAAGCTTTTGAGAGCCTGTGTGATGTAGCAGTTAAGATGTTGAATGTGGAGCATGGAGACTGTGATTCTATTCGCCCTTGGGCATGGAAGCCAATGGATGGTCTTGGGCCAATCATTCTCTAAGCAAGTCAGGTTCTGCAACAAAACAGCTGCCAAACAACACTTTCCCTTGCAACATGCATTGATGGCTTTGTTGTGTGAAATAGACAAGTGCAGTGCAAGTGGGACAAAGGTTAAGAAAAATGAATGAATGAATGAATGAATATACACAAACCAACACATATACAAATCTCTTTCCTAGGACCAACAGTTACAGAATACTAATCTATAATTTTGTCCTTCCTTCCCCCCTTTTTTCTAACAAACTTCAAGAGACAGTTTGCAATTTTATATACTTTCAAGAAGCTAATCAAAATAGTGTATGTATAAAAGGCACACGGAGAAAGAAGTCATTTCTAGAAAAAAGGAAAGGCACAACTTTCAGTTTGTAACAGAATTAACAAAGAAAGAAAGAGGTTATGCCTATTGCGCAAAGATCACAAGCTTCAACAGGATAGACCAGGGTACAAAAATAACAACTTGTCTCTCTCTATTGTGTGTTCCAACTTGTTACAATCAGTATGACCAGGATTTATTTTTAAAAGTAATTGCACTGTTAATTTCAGATAAATCTACATAACAACAAACTACAAACATTGGTTTCCCCAGGTCTAGCAATGTTCTCTTCAATTTTATGGCTCTGGCAGTGAGTTCCCTCCCCTCCATTAATATTCAATTAGAAGAATTTTGCTAAAGTTGCATTTTGTTTTGGGTGTTATTTTAGAACACTACTGCCCAAAACTACAACTCTAGCTACATCCAGATTTATAACATCAATGTGTATATTTGGAAATGCATTCTTACATACATTTAATTCAGAACTCCACAAAGTTTACTTCCACTATATTGGTTGAGCTCTGGGGTAATTATTTTACTCTTCTATGCCGTTTTGGTTGCTATCCCATACAATCTGTTTTTCCATTGTCTTTATGTTTCTCATGAAAAGACAGAAAGTTCTTTTCAAATTATCTTCCTGAGAACTCAATCTATCAGGTTGGCTAACCACAGAGAGTTCTCTAACACATTACCACTAGGCATACCATACTGTAGCTGTCAGGTCCCCAAATCCTTATTGTTTTCCTTGCATATATGTTCTTGTGCTCTTGTTTTGGGACCTGCTATTTTGCTGGGGAGGGGGGATATTTGCTTTTGCTTGGGATAACTTTTGCTTTCTACTTTTCCTCTCCCTTCTCTATCCACTTGAGAAAGGAATGTATCTCCCTTATCAGGGAGACGGTTACAGAGAAACGAAACTGGAGAAGACTTTGAGATGAATTATAATGTGAATTATTCTTAGTAAGAAGTAGAATATGAAGGAAGAAAAATGTAAATAAGAAACAATGGGGCAATAAGGACAAATATTCTAAAGAAGAATAAGGGGAGAAATGTAAATAATAGATTACGTAATTCCGTAATCGCTGTTAAAAAAAGGGGAGAGGAGTATAGTGTATATGTGTTTTATGTTTTGTTTTGTTTTGTTGGTTAAAAAAAGAGAGAGAGAAAGGAATGTATCTCTCTTATCAGGGAGATGGTTACAGAGAAATGAAACTGGAGAAGAGATGTGCACCAACTGTGCCAGTTGCTTGCACATCGTGCCACCTGTGGATTGGCTGGATGTCAAATGGACATTATGACTCTGGTAAAATGAGGAGGAATGTTACTGGTTTAACTATATCATTTAAGCGGGATTTTCCCCAGATCCCGCCTTGATTTCCCTACTGTCACTAATCCCTAATAAAAGTTTCCTTTTGAGACAATGCCTGTTTCAAAAGTTCTGCTTTCCTGGGTGGTTAGTTGAGGTGGGTCCTTACATAAGGCGAGATCTGCATAGTATTCAATCCGGAGAAGCTGCTGCCCTACCGGGGGAGTCACAATTAAATTTCACATGGAGTTCCAGGCAGAGAAATGAGCCGAAGATCTCCAATGCTTGAAACCAGATGAAAGCCTCTCCAGGAAGAAGCCAGGCCTTCTGGTGAAGAAGATCAAGCCAAATGTTCATTCAGGGTCGGAAAAAAGGAAGGATGGGAGGGAAAAGCCCCAAAAGTCACCCTTACCCAAGATGGAGGAAAGAAAAGGACAAAGAAAAAAAATCCAGAGCCTGCCCCTCCTGATAAAGATGGAGAAAAGGAAGAATTGAAATCAGGGACGATGGAAGATGTGATGGAGTATGTGAAAAAAGCCCTCGACGAATTTAAGGTGCAGCTGAAAGAAAGCCCCGAATTGGACGAAGAGTCAGAGAAGGAGGAATTGGGGGTCTGAGAGATGGCAGTGTTGGGAGCCCAGGAGGCAGTACCACGGCGAGGCCATCCATCTCAAGTAACCAGAGGCAGACCACCCCAACCAGCCGAGGTGAAACTGATTCTCATCGGAGTAAAGTTTGATGGAGACCTGAAGTGATTGTCATATTTCCTGACATAAGTGTTCACCTACATGCAGATCTATGGGAGAACACTGCCTACCAATGTTGAGAAGATCTGGATTGTTATCCTAGCTTTGAGAGGTGGAGCAGCTGAGTGGATGTTGACCCTGTACAATTGTAACACACCCGAATTGAGGAATTTCAGCTGGTTTATGGCTGCTCTCCACAAATGTTTTGGAGACTGGCTGGCAGAGAAGAAAGCCTAGGAGCGCATAAAAATAATGAAGCTGAATACACTGAAGAATTCAGAGAATTGGCCAGTTGCTTTCACTGGCTGGAAGACATCCTGGTAAGCTGTTTCAAGGATGGGCTCAATGAAGAGCTAAATAATACTTGCATAGCTCACAGAGCTCCAGGATCGCTGTACGACTGGTGCCTGCTAACTGAGGAAGTAGAGATCGATCAACGCAAGCACCTACATCAGTGATGGTGAACCTTTTAGAGACCGAGTGCCCCAAAACTGGCCACGCCCCACATTCCCCTCTCCCCCAGCCTGTCCACACTCTGCCCCCACCCCTCCAACCCACAGGGCCACTCATCAGCTCCACAGACCACTGCAGATTGCCCAGGTGGTCCAGCAGCACCATGGCAGCCACACTCTCTGCCCACGCCCCACAGCATCAACAGCACGTGATGGGGTGCGAGGGTGGAGTCTTGTCCCCAATGCCTGGCTGCCATGTCCTTATCTGTGCTGCTCCGTGTGGGCTGCACTTGGGGGGCGACTCTCCTCTGGGAGGGCTGCTGGTGAGGAGGGAGCCGTGGGGGGAGGCAGGGTTGGGGCAATGGCACATGTGCCCACAGAGAGGGCTCTGAGTGCCACTTCTGGCACGTGTGCCATAGGTTCACCACCACTGACCTACATTGTCTGGTGAGACCAAGCTTCAAACTACAGTTAAAGAAGCGAGGGGAGACTGCACAAGGTTCGCCTGCCCCATCTTGCAGCACTGCCTGCTTCAAATGTGGTAAAAAGGACATAAAAACTACGTAGCCAACTGCCCCACATGCGCAGTGGCTAAACAGCGGCAAGGGAAATCCCCAGGACTGCTTCAACTGGTAGCCACTCCGTCAGCACCTTGGAGAGAGATCTCTATTAATTTTATTGTGGAATTATCTGAAAGTGCTGGAAATTTGGGTTGTAACGGATTTGCTCTCTAAACAAGTTCATTTCATTCCATGCTCCAAGATTCCAACTGCAAAAATTATAGCTAAACATTTTGTGCAAAAGTATATCGTTTTCATGGGGCCCCACAACATATAATTTCAGATAGAGGGGTTCAATTCACCTGTAAGTTGTGGAAAGCTTTTCTATGCTTAATGAGTTGTAGTCAAGGGTTATCATCTTCACATCATCCTCAAACGAATGGGGGAACAGAGAGACTGAACTCAGTTCTAGAACAATACCTGAGATGTTTCATTAATTATCAACAGGACAATTGGTCTGACCTTTTATCATTTGCTGAGGTGGTTTATAATAATGCTGTGCATTCAAGTACAGGTTTCACTCCATTTCAGGTAGCTAATGGTCAAACATTCATGGCCATGCCTGAACTCTCTGCCAAGGAGCCTGAAATTCCCATCTTGCAAGAATGGATTAAACAGTTACAAAATACCTGGGCAGTAGTTAGGAAAGCACTGGATGAAGCCAGAGAAGCCTATAAGACTCAAGCTGATAAATGGAGGGTGGAGCAAAAATCATATAAAGTTGGAGACCGAGTATATCTCTCCAGAAAGTATTTTCAGTCTTTAAAACTTTCTAAAAAATTAGGCCCTAAATTTGTAGAACCTTTCCCTATCACACGCATCATCAATCCTGTGACGATTGAATTGGACTTGCCAAAGAACTTATGGAAAATCCACCCTGTTTTCCACTGCAGTTTGCTCAAACCGGAGGTCACTTCTAACCTTAGGCCTCCTGCGCCTCAGGCACCCACACCTATTATGGTTGAGGGTGAACAGCACTTTGAGATTAAGGACATTTTGGACTCTTGAGTACACCATCGGGTGACACAATACTTAACAGCTTGGAAGAATCTCTCTTCTGCCCAGAATGAGTGAGTGTACAAGAAACCTATTAGAGACCATAAACTTCTAAGATGCTTCCATTCTCAATATCCTGATAAACTTAATTGATATGCCTGTATTGTTTGTTTCCCTTCCTCTTTTTGTCTTTTAGGTGGATTTCCCGTTACTCTAGGGGGGGCATATGTTAGGTCTCCAAATCCTTATTGTTTTCCTTGAATATATACTGTTGTGTTTTGGGACCTGCCATTTTGCTGGGGAGAGGGGGGATATTTGCTTTTGCTTTGGATGCCATATTTTCCGGCGTATAAGACGACTTTCTAAACCCTGAAAATCTTCTCAAAAGTCGGGGGTCATCTTATATGCCCAGTCGTCTTATACGCCGGAATATACCGTACCTCCAGAAAACCTCCACCTCGCTGCGGCAAATCTAGAAGGACGCGAGATGGAGAGCAGATAGGGAGGGAGAGGTTCGACTTCCACGGAAATGGAAAGAAGTAAAATTGCCTCTTTCTTTCCTTGCACGCTTCTTCCCCCTCCCCCGTTTTGGGATAAAAACAGATCAACTCGATGTTACACAAATGTAATGTACTCTTTCCACGCAGGTTCACATATTTTGTTGCATTTCAAGCACACTAATCTCTCTCTCTCCCTCCCCCCTCTCTCCCTCTCCCTCCCTCCCTCTCTCTCTCTCTGTCTGTCTGTCTCCCGCGGCCCACCAGAGTCCTCTTCTTCTCACGCACCTGCGGTAGCTATTTCTTTAGTGGAGAGTTGGCACACCCGCCTCCCTGCCGGTACGCTCTGCAAAAGAAAAAAATGCTCACTCACTTTGCCCATGCAATGCCTCAAAGTTCTTCTCCTCCTCTCGTAGCCCGTCCTCTTTGCCTGAGCAGCCCGACCATAGCAGCGTTACTGCCAGTGTTCATACTTCTGATCTCTGTATACTTGATGCTCTCTTTGGGAAAGCTTTTTTTTTCCGCCAGAAACAGATTTCCTACATTTCATCAGTCCACATAGGTGGAACGGAAGTTTAATGCTGATTTGAGGGAGGGGTGGGGTGGGGGGGATGGAGGGGAATAGAAAGAAGCAGCGAAACGCCAAATGCAGGTTTACTATAGGAAAGAGAGGGGTATTGAATTACAAACTCTAAGCAGAAACTTTGGACCAAGAACCAGCCAGTGTTTATTTATGTTGCTTCCAATGCGCTGAGAGGAGAGCTGGCTTTGAAAAGAATGCTGGATGGGATTGATTGGGAACATTTAACGACACTTACATGCAGTAAAATGTTTCAGCAGGGGGACATCAGGAGCTAAGGCGAACTTTATTCCTTTAAGCTCACTGGGCAGAATCCATACCTTCTTGAGGCCAAGGACAGTGCTCTCACGGATGGAAAACTGGGGGGGGGGGTTCGTCTAATATATTCTGGCATAAACTTGCCTGGGTATACTTTTCTTCTTGCAGAGCTACAAGCAAATAGAATAGAATAGAATAGAATAGAATAGAATAGAATAGAATAGAATAGAATAGAATAGAATAGAATAGAATAGAACCTTGGAGGTCTTCTAGTCCAGCCCCTGCTCAAGCAGGAGAACTTATACCATGTCAGACAAGTGGATGTCCAGTCTCTTCTTAAAAATCTCCAGTGATGGAGTGCCCACGATTTCTGGAGGCAAGTTGTTCCACTGGTTGATTGTCCTCACTGTCAGGAAGTTTCTCCTTAATTCCAGGTTGCTTCTGTCTTTCATCAGTTTCCAACCGTTGTTTTTTGTCCTTCCCTCTGGTGCTCTGGTGAACAACCTGACCCTCTCTTCCTTGTGGCAGTCCCTCAGATACTGGAATACTGCTATCATGTCTCCTCTATTTCTTCTTTTCTTTAGACTAGCCAAACCTAAGTCCCACAGCTGTTCTTCACATATTTTAGTCTCCAGGCCTTTGCTCTTCTCTGATTTTTTTTTTCCAAACTCTCAACATCTTTTTTGTGATATGATGACCAAAATTGGCTGCAATATTCCAGATGTGATCTTACTAGGATTTTATAAAGCGGTGCCTCTGTTTATACAACCCAGGATTGTATCAGCCTTTTTGGTTGCAGTTGCACATTGCTGGCTCATAGTCAAGTGATTGTCCACTAGGACTCCAAGGTCCCTCTCACAGTTATTGTTATTAAGCCAGATCTCGCCCAATCTGTACTTGTACCTTTGGTTTTTTTCTGCCTAAATGTAAGACTTTACTTTTCTCCACATTGAAACTCATTTTGTTGGATAGGGCCCGTTGTTCAAGTTTGTCAAAATCTTTTTGGTTCCTGAATTTGTCTTCTGGGGTGTTGCCTACTCCTGTCAATTTGGTGTCATCTGTAAATTTGATGAATTCCCCTTCAGCTCCCTCATCTAAATTATTGATGAAGATATTGAAGAGTATTGGGCCTAAGACAGAACCTTGTGGTACCCCACTGCTTACTTCTTTCCATGTGGATGTAGTGCCATTGAGGACCACTCATTGAGTACAGTTTGTCAGCCAGCTACAGATCCATCTGGTGGTGATGTTGTCTATTCCACCTTTTTCTAGCTTACCAAGGAGTAGGTTGTGGTCTATTTTGTCAAATGCCTTACTGAAATCTAAGTACCATATTTTCCGGCATATAAGATGACTTTCTAAATCCTGAAAATCTTCTCAAAAGTCGGGGGTCGTCTTATACGCCCAGTCGTCTTATGCGCCAGAATATACGGTAACTTTTGCTTTCTACTTTTCCTCTCCCACCTCTATCCATTTGAGAAAGGAATGTGTCTCCCTTATCAGGGAGACGGTTACAGAGAAACGAAACTGGAGAAGACTTTGAGATGCGCACCAACTGTGCCAGTTGCCTGCACATTGTGCCACCTGTGGATTGGCTGGATGTCAAATGGACATTATGACTCTGGTGAGGAGGAGGAAGATTACTGGTTTAACTATACCATTTAAGCGGGATTTTCCCCAGATCCTGCCTTGACTTCCCTACTATCACTAACCTCTAATAAAAGTTTCCTTTTGAGACAATACCTGTTTCAAGAGTTCTGCTTTCTTGGTTGGTTAGCTGAGGTGGGTCCTTACAATAGCATACAGTGGCAGAACAAATGTCCAGAAAACAGAAAGAGAAGTCAAATAGCATCTTCATTACTTCCCCAGAGCAAATTCAGTGTAAAAACTGGATACCACAATAATTGTCATTGCTGTTGGAAATGTCAGAAGAACCTTAAACTGAAAATCAGTTTGTAGAAATGAATATTGGAAATGTCTAATTAATCCCTGATATCTTAGCAATATTGTTTAAATGGGCAGTATAGGAAAAGTGACTTTTATATAATGTTTTTATATTGAATAATTAAGGAAAACTCAGTTTCTGTCTAGGTGAATATATCATAGCCACTGGAAATTAGTTCTGAAAGCAGTTATCTATTCAGAGAATGCTCATCAAATCATTCTTGAATGGAATCATCACAACTGCATTAATATGGAAGTAATATAAGAATGCAATGTGTCAGCTGTGTGTCAGGTTTTGTGTATGAAGTTGTATAAAATTATGAAATTGTGCAATGATGACTGTCCATTTTTTACTGTATCTCCTCAAGATGGTGCCCTCTTAGGGTGTTGGAGTGAATCTCCCATCAGCCCACATCAGAACTGACAGTGCTGGCTGAGGGAGATTGGATTTTGTGTCCAAGAAGAATATCAACTTTGAGTAACATAGAACCTTGTCCCCCAAAAGCACCTCAAAAATATAAGACAGCCCTTCTTTAGCACCAATATAAGTCCTCAACTTATGACAATTTGTTTACCAACCATTTGAAGTTTCACAGCTCTGAGAAAACTGACTTATAACCTGTTCTCACACTTATAACCATTACAGTATCCCTCTCAATGACATCATTGTGATTTGGATGCTTGGCAACCAGTATGTATTTATATGATGGTTGCAGCATCCTGAAGTCATAATGAAGGCCATTTGCAACCTTCCTAGCTGGCTTTAGATGAGCAAAGTCAATGGTGGAAGCTGGATTTACTTAATGGGCATTAGCAAAAAAAGGTTGTAAAACTGGGTACAACTCGCTTAACAACAGTATCTCCACCTCCACTCCACCTCCTGCCCTGCCCCCGCTCCACCCCCATTCCCCACCCCACCTGCCCGCAGGGCCACTCACCGCATCCAGGGCCCGCCACAGATCGCCTAGGCAGCCCAGCAGTCACACCCTCTGCCCATGCCCTGCAGCATCAACTGTGCACAATGGGGTTTGAGGGCAGAGTCTTGTCTACACTGCCTGGCTGCCATGTCCTTGGCTGTGCTGCTCCGCGTGGGCCACGCTCAGGGGCAACTCTCCTTCAGGGGGGCTGCTGGAGAGGAGGGGGTCGCGGGGGGAGGCGAGGCTGGAGCAACAGCACATGTGCCCACAGAAAGGGCTCCGAGTGCTGCCTCTGGCACCCGTGCCATATTTTCACCACCACTGCTCTAGCATCTCTGGCAAAATTGCTCTGTAAGAGGTGTGCCCTAGTGACTCATTACAAAGTAGAGAAGTTTTAAGGCAGCCTTGATAGTGTTTGGCAAGTGATGATTTGTCTTCATAACTCCATGCTTATAAGACCATTTTTCTTCAACCTAATTGCCTCCAAATTTGTTGGACTCCAACTGCAATTTCCAGCCAGATTGAGAAAACTGTTCAAGAATGTGAATAATATCCAGAAACCTATTGACTCCAAGAATTCTTCCTTTCCTTGCTTTGTTTGAAGAATATAATCAGGGGGATTGGCTAGAGGAGTATATTCAGCTTTGCCTTATATCTTGGCACTTCCATGGGCAAGCTGTTTCTTCAGTTGTGTATTTATTATTCCAAATTCCTAATGGGTCATAGTCTATGACATAACTTTGCCTCAGGAAGAAACACACCGTTTTGGAGTAGTAGTATAACTGCAGGTATAAAAATAAAAAAAAAATGACTGAATTACACAATTACAGAATTGGAAGGGACCTTGGAGGTCTTCTAGTCCAGCCCACTACTGAAGCAGGAGACCCTTTACTATTCTGGACAAATGATTGTCCAACATCTTCTTAAAAGCTCCAGTAATGGAGTATCTACAACTCCTGGAGGCAAGCCATTTCCACTGATTAATTTTTCTTACTGTCAGGAAATTTCTCCTAGCTTCCATCCATTTACTTGTTGCCCTGCCCTCTGGTGCTTTGGAGAACAGGTTGGGCCCCCTCTTCTCTGGGACAGCCCCTCAGATATTGGAAGACTGCTATCATGTCACCCATAGTCTTTCTTTTCCTTAAACTAGACATACCCTGACAATTTTTTGTTTGTCATGTTAAAAGCATTGTTATTAAATCCTAGTATCTTGGCCATCACACTGCTCACTCATGAAAAAGGGTGTGTGTGCCTTTCAGGGTTACTTCCTTCCATCCATCCATTACACACCAACAAGAATGGAATTCCTAAAGCTCTTTTCTGTGGCCTGCAGAACCTGCGCAGATTCAGCAGAACAGTACTGATGATGTATAATGATGGTGGAATTTTTCTAATTTTCAATGACAATCCAAAATTGATTGGAAATTGATTCTGGAAGATGCTTAGGCCCAGGTCTAGATAATTGGAGGAAACAACATCACAAAAAAAAGGTCCACAATCTTATCTCCGTCTGTCCATCATCATAGTAGAAGGCATGATTTTTCTATATCAGAGAGAACATGAACATCCTAAACATAATCAGTCCTGTTGTACTTTTGTTCTGTAATAAACTGGTCTTCTTTCTCTTTGTTTGTGTTAGTTTATTTAGGCAAATACACTGCTTGTAGCATTGACAATTCCCTCCACCCATTCCTGGTTAGTTTTTTATCCTTTTATTATTCCCATTAGTAAATTACTAGAAGAAATAGAGTTTATTTATTTCATCAAACACTTTTGCGTCTCTTTTGCCACTTATTTTAATGGTAAAATAAGTTATTTTACTTTAATACCATAGTAAAATAAGTGGATTAGGCCTAGTAGAGGCTTACACACATTTTTATTTCCTGTTTTGCGAAGAAATACCTACCAGAACATTACATCCATTCCCACATTATTCTACAGGAGGAGCATATATATATGTAATCACAAGACTACGACTGATTTACTTTGGCCATGTCCTGCATGCAAATTCATTGGAGAAGTCAATGACTGGTTAGTGGACAAAAAGAAGGGGCAAGCAAAGAACACTCTGGTTTGATAACATCAAAACTGATACAAAGATGAATATCCAGCAACTGAAAGAAGCTGCGCTTGACAGGGTAGAATGGAGAGCACTTGCCTATAAAGTCGCCAAGAGTCGGACATGACTAAATGGTTAAAACGATAACATATATACTGTATGTAAGAGAGGAAAGGACATAGTCCCGCCATAAACATCAAGTAAAAGAGACTATAGTATCCATATGTCACAATGCCATGATATAAATGTTGCAAATGGTATAATGTCTAAAATCACATATTTTACATACATGTAGTATATAAAGATGAGCTGGGTGGCATCTTTTTCTTCTGGTTCCCTACAGACAGCATTGGTCCCTCCCTTCTCAGTCACCCACCTGCTCTGCTCCTACGGCTGGCATACTACCCAGTTGGCTCTCTGCTCCACATTTTGCTTTGGGACCACTCTCACTCATTACTGCCATCGTTTTATGACAGGCTCACTCTCTCCCTAGGGTAGCTATAGCACCCGTGATTGATACACTCTTTAAACATTTCAAGAAACTGTTCTCCAGCTTTAACTCCCAGTGCTATTCTTGTCTCTCTCTCCAGAATATGCATGTACAGAAAACCTAGGAAGGGGATGTGGGCATGTGTGTGTGTATGTTTGTGTAGAGAAAAGCCTGGGAGATTCATTATTAGTATTAAAGATTACACTTGGTTATGACTTCTCAAAAACTAAAAAACAGAAGGAGTGGCAGTTCTGGGATTTAAGCATCCCAACTCCAACCTTCCATTTTAGGCTGGAAAAGGCTTTTTTTCAGTTCTACACTGCAGAATGTCCTTTTATTTATTTAAACATTTACAGAATGCCAACTATCAAAGCGTGGTTAGCAACAAATATAGAGATCATACAATCATTTTTTATCCATTTAAAAGTCTGAGTAAAAAAAAACAATGTTTCCGAAGGGAAGGAGTGCTTTAAAGAGTTTGGATGTGTCTATTGAGCTGTCCTGAGGCCAGGTCAGCGTTACACAAGGGGCGCTAACAAAAGCTATTCTTTCACATTGATTTTAAGAAATGGTAGGGTTATAAAGGCTAAATTCTTAAGAAACATTTGCTGCATTAGATTTGGCACTGCTAGGAATAAATCTACTGGTTGAAAGTATGGTTTTGGGGGTCGTTCACTTTTTTTACTCGATCAAATACTGCCTCTCATACTCAGATCCCAGAAAGGCGCCAGAACTGAGCAAAAGGTATGGCCAGTGGAGAATTTGGTGAGTACTGAACCTGTGAGATCAACTTGTACATATTTCTAAACCACCTGTCACTTCCTCATAAAATGTGCTTTTATGAGTCAGACAAGTAAAGTCACTTCAGCAAACCAAGCCTTTGTGGAAGACTCTCCCTCCAGCCCGATGAAATAGGATCCTTCCCCACCTTTTTAAACTGGAGATGTTGACACAATCATTTCTCTGCTGCCACAAAGCAGAAACATAGCCTAGACATAATAGTCAAGGCAGAGAAGCTCCTCTGCCACTTAGTTTTTTATTGTGCATTAAATGCCCTGTTAATTCAATAAATCCCATTTACTTATAGAAGGAAATGCTATTATAGACTTAGTCTTTTAAATAACAGTTAATTAAGCAAGTTCACTCTTTCTCTTAAATGGCTTTTAGCTCTGGGGGAAAAATGACTGCCCTTCATTTTCTCAGTAAGGAAAAAACATCAGCCAACTCTTCTTTTAAGGGCCACAGAAAGAATTCTTAAAGACCAGGATTCTTGCTGAATGTATAAACGCCCGCAATTTGGGGTTACTCCTACACAAAATAATCTTTAATTTTTTAAAAAAAATGAACAGAAGCCAGCATCTCCTGTAAAACAAGCAGCAGAAAGGAGCTTTGCAAAGGTATATGTATTTTGTTGTGGTTTCTCCCCTATGAATTGGAGTAATATGAAGGGCTTACTCCTATCATATGTTTTTGTGCTGTATAAATACTCAAGGGCAAAATCCACATGCAGCATGTTGAATACGAGCAAACCTGGGGACAAAATCAGTCACGTGGGAACTGGTGATCTTAATATCTTTTTGAGGATATGTATCCAGAGACATAATCAGCCCAGAGAGCTAATCAGTTAATTGCCAAGCCCCCAAACCGAAAGGTAATCCTGTGTCTTGTATACCTAGACATCCTCATGGCAGCCAGCCTTGCTCGGAATGTACCTGCGCATCCATGGATCTACTTGAAAAAAATTGCATGTGGTGGGACCCTGTGGATCAAAGCTGTAAAATGTAGGGGAAAAAAAGTTATGAATAGAAAAGTGATTTAAAGAAGACATCGGTGTCCATCCAGGTGTCCCTACATATATACAAAACTAATAGCCACAATGTTTTGGATTTGGAGCTTAATTTGATTTATTGATTACTAAAATTATACCCCTTCTTTCTGCTTATATAAGCCCTCAGAACAGCTCATAGTCTAACCATAGTCTTTCCTTCTCGCTCCAATTTAAATCTCAGAAGAATGCAACCAAGCACAAACATCCTTTCTGCTTATGATCAAACTGATAATGCAGACAGGCTTTGGAACATTTCTGTCAAATCAAAAGGCTGAATAGAAGAAGTGCATGATGGGCTCCAGAGAGATGCTTGCACATGGCACTTATGCTTGTGCGGGGCACTCCTTGAAAAACCCCAGTGTGTCTTATGAAAAGAGGTCAACTTATTGCTTCTTCAGGTTGTAGTAGCCCCTAATCCTGGTTCTCCTCATTGCCAATAGCTCCAGACTCCCAACGCTGGATTAAGGCACTTCTCTGGCGACGCAGGAGTCGAGGACTTCTCTCCACCTGTGAGGTTGAATGGGGAGGGGGGAGGAAAGGGAAACAGGAAGCAATGGTTTGTGAGGTTCAAGAAACCCATGACAAAGCAAGTATGCGAACTAAGTCCAAGACTGATGCCATGACTAGTTCAGAACAAAGAAAAACACTCAGCATCATTTTTGCTATTAAACTAATATTTATTTTTCCCAGCCTCCAAAGAACACAATTTGATTGCACTGTCAACATCAATAGTTGCCTCTACTGGGCAATGATTTATGATCCAGCATTATTCAAAAAGTAATTCAAAAATTGATTAATTCATAAAACTTAATAACATGCCTAATATACCCTTTATGTGTTTTGTTGCAAATTAAGTTTTTTCCTAGATCTGATCTTAAAGGAAAAAATTTCCAAATCTTGCCACCTCAAATGCCACTATAGTTTGGGATCCATGGTTTCTATTTGCCAGTTCACAAGTCTATGCAATGCATCCCCGCTTTGAGTTATTTGCAAGAATAATGAAGGCAGGATACAAATAAATCAATCAATAAATCTGGAGCATGCTGGATTAAGTGGATGCACATCACAGTAAATGTGTCAGGATTACTGCCTTAGCCCTTGAAGGGGAAAGCCCAGACATGATCTGCTTCTCCTTCTAATGCTAATGGGAGCTGGGTATGTCATGCTTTCTCATATTACACAAAAAAGATCATGTGCTTTTAGTAAAAAGAATCAAATAATAACAGAAATCTAATTACATTCTTTACACTGAGGCCAAGTAAGTTTGTTCCTTTACAGGTTAGACTCTCAGTCAAGCTTTTCAAAATGGAGGCTGGCATGGTGATAGATTGACAATCTGAGCCCCATTCAGTTTTATCCCATGATGTACAGCAATTATGGACTAAAACTAGATTGTAATTTGCCAGTGGATCACAGCTCACCTAATTTTTGATGATGAAGCTTCTTGCAGTTATTTCCTGACAAGATCATGCGTCACCTGTTCTGGCAAAGCTACACTGGCTTCTTGCAATTTTAGCCGAATTTAAGCTGCACAGAGATTTGTTGCCAGTTTGTCTCTGACTTTCCTGGAAGTACTAACTGTAGGAACTAACCCAGAGGGAGGTTCACTGAGAATTGACTAGATATAAGGCTTTCTTGATGACAGCACCAACCTGGCACAATTCCCTCTTCTAGAATTAGAACTACTTCATTCTCTGGTGTGTTTTAAGAAGAAGTTAAAAACTTATTTTTAAACCCAAGCAAATGGGTGTAAACTGCTCCACTGCTCCAAATATGTCATTGAAAAATATAGAATGGATTTTCTTTTAAAGGGCTGGAGCTATGCAGTCTAAATACTAGTGTGTTGTTTCATTTGACAGCATTTCTAACAGCCCCAGTGTAAAAACTGGCATTTAGAGAAGTTATAACAGACCTGATGTTTTATAAATCTGTGGGTTTTTTTAAAAAAAAATTATATGGTTGATCTTTTGTATTTTTAACATGACTCCCTGTTGGCTTGACTGAAATCAAACAGGATAGAAATATGTTAAATAAATAAATAAGCTCCAAATTTTTCCAGCAAAGGCACAACTTATAATCTTGTCCTCTAGTGCTGGTAACAGCATGTTGGCCATTTAGGCCATTTATTTCCAAGATCCTCTTCCAGGAAAGGGGAGAGGTCCAGGCATGAAAAGAAACATAGAAAGGATGTTCACAAGGAAGTCCCTGCATAGAAGCTCTTTCAATCTTATAACAAGCCGATTGCTTCCTACTAGAACTTCAGACACAAAAACCTGAAAGGCCATTGCTGTTGTTTTTAAATTATCTCAATAAAGGACCCCCAAAAAACCCTGAAGCATGTGAATTTTCTTACAATATCTGCAGCCACGTGAGATTAGATATGAAATTCCTAAGAATAATAGCCCAGCACTACTATTACAGTTTAATTATTTTCCTGCTGCTATCAAGGGCAAAGGAAACAAATGTAAATGTATTGCAGTACAATGAGTCCATTGAATGAGTTTTGTTAAAAAAAGAGGGGGGAGGAGGGGAGGAAATCAGTATTTTTTCCCCTGTTTTAAATAGTAGCAAGGGTTTTGTGTTCTGCAGAAATGCATGCAGGTCAATTTTGTGAGAATGGCTTGTGCAAGACATTATCTTGTACAACTCTCTCTGCAAAAGATGAGAGTGTGGCAAAGTTGAGCCATTTTTTCTATGATAAACTACATGAGTTAGGTACCATACCATTCTATTCTCTTTTAAAGAGTCACATGCAATGGAAGGAGCTGAAGAGTGCACATCCAGACATATTATTGAAGAGCTGAATTTGCAGGAGCCCCACTTTAAGCATGTACACTCATGGCTGCATTCTACCATATAAAAGATAAGGGGCTTAGTTTTCTCTGTCATCCTGTTTTTATTTTATTTGTAAAATGTCTACACCACTCATCCCTCCTAAGTGACTTTAGGTGGTTTGCAAATAAAAACCATAAAAAGAGACATAGTTAAAAATAATATTAAAAAACAGAGTTTAAAAGTATTAAAAATTAAGAATTAGAAAAGTTAAAAAAAAAGATGGAGGGAGCACCCTGAAAAGCCATCCACCAACCCCAAGGTTGCATGGCATTCTTACATCCCCATGCCAATTGATCATTAATTAAATAAATACCACTCATTAATGCAAACAAACAGAGATAAATTCATTCAAGTTCCATCCATACTTATCACACCATGTCATAAAATGGAACTTAGTTAACCAGGTAAACCAAGCAAACACCTCACATATTCAAAGTAAATTCCAGAGTCTGATCTTTGCAAAAGAGCATATTCTTAGCAAACTGCAACTGTTTCTGTCATATATGATAATATTCTGGTTTATGGTGAAAGACTATGGGGAGATATCAACTTCAAAAGCAAATCAAAGCTATCAGTGACAAAGAGAGGGCAGGCCCTTGCTGTTATTTTAAATAGTTTATTCACTAAACACAAAGTTTTGAACAGCAAAGTTTCTTTTTTCTAAGGAATTAAGAACCACAGTGTTAACAATGAGAAAGATGGCAAAGAGAAAGAACAAGTAGGAGGAAAAACAAGGGAATGGTTTTGCATCCATAGTATTTATATACTTTGCAATCACATAATTCCAGGTTCAATCCCCAGCATCTCTAAGTGCAGCCAGGAAAACTTACTATAGAGTAGAGCAGCCTCATCTTTCAACTCTAATATTCCTATGTGTATATTGATTACAAAGCCCATCACTCCTGACAATACCACTATGCTGCTTGGAAGCGGAGGGAGTGATAGGTTAGAGATTATAGAAAGCCTATTGTTTAAAAATGTAGAACTTCTGTTGGTTCCAGGGCTATACTGGGATTTCCATAATACAGCATGATTTATATAGTAAAAGTAGGTGGGACCAGATATATCATTACCAAAATTATTCCTCTAAATCATTTTGGATTGGGTTGGAGAATTGCAAAAACTCTGGGAAAAAACTAGAAACTTTGCTCCTGTTCTGAAGCCACAAAATGAATGTTGGTACTTCTCATTATCCTCTATTTTTGGACCCTTGTTACAGGCCATCCACTGAGGGAGGGTCAGACTGAAAATGAAGAAAAGTTCTAAGAACCTGAATTTTGACCTGTGCCAAGGTAACCATCTATATTCCTGAGAGGAGAGCTTAAGGCAGTATGAAATAATTGTGAGGAGTCAGATGGAATATGATGATCCATGGTTAACATCTCCTACAAGTGTCCCCCCTTTTTAACTTGCCTGTTACTACTTTAAGTGCTTCAAGAATGATGAGTACTTCCCCCCATTAATGGGATTTTTTTTATGGGATAAACAAAGATGGTGGTAAAACATGGGAAGGTTTGGAAAAGAAACAAGAAAAAGTTATCTGAGTGTTCTAAAATAAATCCATGAATGAGACAGGAAGATTATGCCCCACATTCTTATTGGATCGTAGCTTTATCTCACATATGCATTTGGAAGTGCTAAGAGCTTGCTACATCTAGCTTTATTCCATAACACATATGACATGTCATAGCTGTGAGGATAACTGGAGCTTCCCTGCTTGTTACCTGGTGGAGGCCATTCACCTGAATGTTCTCTGAAGTGCTTTGAGGGGGCCAAGTGACCTCCAGTTTCTTGCAGGAAGGTCTCTCTGCAAAGAAAGAAAAGGGAAGCTAAGTCAGTTTTAGGAGCTACACAGTCTCATTAGCAAGAGAATGCTTCCGTGGTCATTCCTCCCAACTAGCAGCTTGTAGTCACTTCTAAAGTCATCCATCCATCATTATGCCAAAATAACAACAACAATAATAACAACAACAGTCAATTGCAAAAGGCAGCTTTACTTGGAACAGCTTATATCCTGAGATGACATCTGTAACACTATCAAACATCCAGATCTGCCTATCCCAGGTCTTTGGAAGGACTTGATATAGCTAGACAGAAATGCCAAATCCAGTCTGGACATCTGGCTGACTGTGTGATGAACCATAAATCATGTCAACAAAGGATGCTATGAAGGTGTTATAAGTCAATTGTGGAGAAATTGCCTGAGCATATACAGAGTTCTTTTTCTCATGCTTAAATAACCAATAACAGGGAAGGGCTTTAAATTCTGTAGCTGGGTTGACACATTTATTTAAATTTGGTTCTATAAATGATTTACTACTGGCAGGACTCATACTGTACATCATGTTAAAAAAACCTTACAGATTATAAACCATGATGGTTGGGTTTGCATAATACACTTAATCCCAAGCCACTTGTGGCTAGGCATAATATAAGAATGAAGACAGCATTGCCTGAGCACTGCCACTGCCACAGACAAATCAGAAATGGGTCCTTCTTCCTCCTGTTTCTGCCACAGTTCTTTTATGAGTTCCACACCTCTTTTGAGAAGATACTCAGAGCCATAAGCATTCACACCCAGCTTTTCCTTTCAGTCTTGCCTCTGTTAAAGTTCAACCCAGTGTTTGCTATAACACCCTAGAAACCTATTTCCACCCTCTGGATACACATGCCTTGTCTGCTGAATGCCAAATTCTCATGCTACATTTCACTCTGTATTAGCTGATAGAGAGAGACTGATGGTTACAACAACTGATGAAATTAAAGAGATTTGAACACAGGTTTTGTCCAACATTCTTTTATCACTTCATCACATTAGTAGGCAAGCAGTGAGACATCCAGGTATCAACTGCATTCCTTTCTTAAGCCATAGAAATCAGCAGCAGGAGGTTAGGATGAAGTGTTAGACCTTCAATCAAGGTCTAGTTTTCACACTTCCTTACTATCGGCCCTGTTGACGGCCTTATGGGAGCTGAAGGCAAAACACTTGGATGGACCAGATTGCCTGCCCTGGTTTATTTTATATCATTAGCTCATTTTATCATGTTGGAATGAGGAGGAATCAAAATGCATTGCTGTCTTTAGGAAGAGCAATGTATGAAAAAGCTAGTGGCAAACAGACTAAATCAAGATTAAAAACAGAATTCTGTGGCATCGATGCAGAGTTCCATGACATCACAGTTGATCACCAGATGCAATTTTCCTCTTTCTTTCTTCAAGCTTGAACAAATGGCATAAAAGTGGTCAGTGCTACCAGTATAGAATCCTTTCCCCAAACATACTTTTGTCCTCAGGTTTCTGTGCATTCCCATTTTGCATTTTTTAAAAATATCCTTTTACTTTAGAGAAAGCAGACTAAGCAGCTCTTTCACGGTCATGCAGTGAGACCACATTGCAATGTGGACCAGATCAAGCACTTTAAGCATTTGACTCCAACAAACTAGTCTCAGGATGAGTGGATTTCAGAAGAGGCCTGCAATAGGAAAGCCAATATCCATCTGGATTTGCATGCCTCTGCTGGATGCCCAGAAGCCTCCAGAAAGCACAGAATGTTAATGAAATCATCATTGTTTCCCAGCTTATGTACAGAGTTATGATGCTTCTAAAAAGTGATGGTTTTATGCATAAACTGATGCAATTTCCCCTTAGAGCCATCTAGCCAATCTTCCCCAAACAACAATTCTCCTATAAATGAATGGGGAATTCTGGGAGATATAATCCCAATGCATTTCAAAGTCCTCAGAGTGGAGAAAACTGATCAAAGTTATTGGCTATTATAACTGGAGTGAATTCCACAGTTTGTTCAATTATGATCTATTCCTGAAGAACTTTATTTTAAGTTTTTCTTGCCCCTCTATTTCACCCAAATTCTTTTTTTACTTTCATTTCTTATGTTTTAATAAAGCCTTGCCCAAGTTGGCATTTTTCAAATGGGCTACATATCCCGCCTGGGATAAAGGGAGCTGTAGTCTATTTGAATGACAACAGTTTGGGAAAAACTGTTTTGGGAAAACTGAAGAGAGGAATTAGAAAGGATCACTGCTTGCTTTGATTCTTCAACTCAAAGCCAAGCATGTGGTCCTTTTTTCATTCTTGTCTTCACCCCATCTTCCCACTACTACAGTACTTACCTGGTGGGGAGGGAACTTCCTCGGCTTGATTGGAGTCTTCTGCTGGCTGACAAGGCAATGGTGAGCCATACAGGGCGAACCTCTGCCTCTGCAGCTCCCGTTCTCTTTCCTGGACCTCCCGGACCTCCTGCTCCAACAGAGACTGAGAGCTTTTGGCACGCAAGCAGACAAAGGAACTAGCCAAGGTGGCTGTCCCTGGCATATGCTGCTTTGGTTCTGCTAAAAGACCAGAGTCCAGGATGATCATATTGGACATCCGATTGGCCTCGGCAAAAGATGGTCCCCTTGCATTTTCTGTGCAGCTGTTGTTGCTGCTGCCATGTACCATCTTTTTGAAGTCTGGTGTCTCAGGGTGGGAATGTTGCTCAAAAACCATCTTCTTCTCCTGCAGCTCTTGGGGTGTACCACGGTCATAGGTGCCTCTCACTTTGCCCAGCTGCACTAGGTCCTCTTCACGCCGACACTCCCGTTGAATCTCCCTCTGCATCTGGACACCAGCCCACTGACGCTCCTTCTCCTTTGGCATTAGGGAGGATGTCATACTTTGGTTCAAAATGGGTTTGATGCACACTTCCACATATTCCTGGGTACCTCGAGAACTGCCCAGGCCTCTCTCCCTTCGTAGAAGTTCTTCTCTTTCCAGATGTACACGGATCTCTCGCTCAATTGGGGTCTCAGAAGGGTTCTCAGGCTCATAGGTATTATTTCCCATCAGGTCTGTAGGGCAGTCTGATTCTTCAGTCACCAAGTGTTGCTCAGCAGGAGATGCAGCAAGAGTTGGATCTGCTGGGCTCACCAGATCTCTGGTAGTGGTGGGGTCTGCAACATCAAGTAGTAATCCCTTTCTTGGTGTTGGACTCAAGCCAGAAAGCTCTGTAACAATACCTAACCCATTAGCTAAAGAGGCATTAGCCAAACCTCGAGAGTCTACTCTGTTCCTGGTATCTAGCAGATCTTCGGCACTGGCTAAAACCATTGCACCAGCTGCCTCTTTGGGACAAGTTGGATCACTTGTACCCGTCAGGCTTTGTGAGTCAGGAAATGCTTTGTCCAGTTTGTTGGCACCAGTCAGATTCTCTGTTCCCTCTGGCTGGCTGGTATTTTCTCCTGGCTCAGAGTCCCTGGTCGCTTCTTTTTGCCTCTCAGATTCCAGCACACACTCTGCTCCAACCGCACCCGGGGACTGATTATTATTGCCGGCTCCTCTTGACTCATGAATAGCCAATCCTCCCCTGTCTTGCCCGTCACATACAGGAGCCAGGCCCTGGTGGGCAGGTCCACAGGAGTCATTGGTTGCCACAGGAGACTGTGCCGACACTTTCTGAGGTAGAGTGTCACAACCTGTATCTGATGCCCTCTGCTGGCAGCAGAAGTCAACATCTAGCTGGGAGCCTGCTAATGCCAGGGAAGATGAATTTGGACTGCAGGAAGAATCTTGGGTGACCTGCTCATCAGTTGCCTGGGAATTGTCTTCCAAGGCTTTTCTCAAAAACTGCCCATTGAGATGATCCTGGTAGTCTTCTGAAGCTAAAAGTAACTGATCATTCTCTCTATTGGGCATTTTTTCTTCATTACCTGGTTCTGTAATTTTTTGGCCACTTGACTTTATTTCTTCATGAATGTTGGTAGGATGAAATGTTCCCTGACGTTCATCTGTCAAATCAACATTAGAATGATTGGAGATAAAACACTCTCCCTCCCCTGTTTGGATTTGAGAATTGGTCTGCAGACACAACAAGTTGAGAGATTTAGGTGAAGTAAGACCTTCGCTCTTCTCTTGGCAGGCAGGAATTTGTTTGAGGCTATTAGAAAGCTCTGGTTTCTCTGGTGAATCTGAATTCACATCAAATGACTGGACAGAATGATCTACAGTGTCATCTTCTATCCTTTGGTCTGGTTGATTAGAGATGTCATTGGAGGTCTGTTGCTCTGAAGCAATATCTGAAGCAGTTTCATCATAAACAAGAGGATTCTTTTTAGTCTCTTGGACACATTCCAAAGGTTTCAGGAAATCATCAGGCACAACAGGACCTTTATCAGAACAGTGATACAGCTCGCTCTCCACTCCTTGGACCTCTTGTATTGAGATTCCATTTGAGTGCTTCAATTCTGGAAAAACATTTAAAGTACTGTCATGACCTTCAAGACAGCTGCCATTCTCTCCTTGTGCCAGCTGGCATGAAGTGTTTTCTTCTTTCTGCTGCTCTGAGCAGACATTTGGCATTTTGATGTGGCTATTCTCTTGCCCTTGGTCTAGTTGTTTGTAGACAGGTGCCATATTAATTCCTTGCGAAAGCATGACTGGAGATGAGGAGGCTTTCTCCACAGGGGCATCCTTTTGTATTAAGTTGGATGATTCTTCTAGTGTATTTTTTTTGGCAATGAGACTGTTGGCATCTTCAAGTGGGGTTATCAAGGGGTGATTGGCTTCAGTGGTTATGGAAACATCCTTGACCACATCCTTGGTTCCCACCATCTGCCTGAATTCATCCCTGTCTGAGCTTTTCTGGTTGCTATGCTCCAGCCTGGAGTCAAAAGGGGGCAGGAATAATGCTTCTGTGGTCATATGGGAAATGGTTCTTTCTCCAACAGATCTAGAACAAAGAACATTCATCTCTTCAATGTGACTTGTCGCTTTTCTGATATTCCCCTCATCTTATGAGTTTCAGCTGGGAAGGCAAATGAATCAATCCCAGCAAAAACTATAAAGGTTCTTTTGGTAAATTAGTGCCTTATAATTTTATTGTTGTATGTATTTCGTGTTAATAATTTAGGTAATAACATAGTTATAGAGGACATAGAACCATAGGGCTGGAAGGGACCTCGGAGGTCTGCTAGTCTAACCCCCTGCTCAAGGCAGGGCCTTTGCATCATCCTAGTCAAATGGTTGTCCACTCTATTTTTGAAAACCTCCACTTTTCAAAATTTGCTAGCCTTTCAGGTGCTGCTATAGTTCCTGATTTTAAGGAAATTAGAAATTTCAATGAGACAATGGCTCCCCCTTCTGACAATAAAAGGAAAAAAATATTGAAGGGCAAAAGACAGATTTGCAAAAAGCTGGTAGGGAAATATCTGGAACAGAATATGGGGATAGCAGAGCAAGAATAAATATTTTCTGCATTTCTCTTATATTTTGGATATCCCTTGGATATTTATGCCTATGTTGCTTTTAATATTTGCCTGTCCACATCAGTAGAGGTTGAATAAGAAAGGTTCTTCTAGCTCACCTAATCTAATGTTCAATTATTGTTCTAGAATGGAACGGAACGGAACGGAACAGAATAGAACAGAACCTTGGAGGTCTTCTAGTCCAGCCCCCCTCTCAAGCAGGAGAACCTATTGGCCAGGGCTGCCCTTCAGAGTAATACAATGGGCACTGTTCTCCTGAAAACCACACCAAAAGCATGTCAGGCTAAGTGTCAGGTAACACTCTGTTGGTTAAAATTACAAATATTTGCATAATAGTGGTCATATTTCTGGCATTCCCCCAAAACCCATCAATCAATTACCACCAATTAGCTTTAGAAACCATATGCTTCTTTTTCAGGCTCAATTCTGATATAATTCAATCAATGTTGACTCCAAAGTTAGCAAAGAGCAGTGGCTGTTCCTCTCAAAGTATTTTCTGATCCTTCCTTTATTTATGCAATTGAATGGAACTTTACAGCAAAACATTAGACCTATAGCTTAAAAGATTGCAGTTTTAATGAAAAGCCTCAAGTATTGTACTCAGCCTCAGAAGAACAACAAAAATGAGCATGGCCAAATAGGTGGACATCTTTGACTTCCCTGGAACCAGACCAATTTTAAACTTCTCTCCCAGTTAGGAACTGGGCTTAGTGATCCATGTGTAATAATTGCATTCCCCTTGGATTTCAAAAGGCTGGTGAGTACTAACTGTTTTCCCCCTCTGTCCAAATCTTTCTTCCCCCATATACTTGGATACGAAAAAAAAAACCCAAAAACAACAACAACAACAACAACAACAACAAAAACCTTGCCTGGAAAACTGAATGAAAGATCCATCAACCAGCCCATTTTAGGAATAAGATGCCAACATTTTAAACAAGCAATCTCTGATAGTTCTAGAACTGTGCAAGAAACAAAATGCTCCCATGAAAAACATATGTACCAGCATTGATCAAGACTTGCCTTCCATAAAAAAAAAACGACCACGGTTCAGGAGACTGTTCTGCTACCACTTGAGGAAATGCTCTTCCTTCTCTGTCTCCAGGAATTGGGGGAAAAAGGGGGAGGGGGGTTTGAAAGGTCCTTCTTCAGCTATCCTCAACAGGCATTCAGCTCATCTTCAGATCCTCAGAGCCTCACTTCATTTCATTTCATTACCCCCTGCAGTTGCTGGCTTTATGGATTTTAGGCAGCCAAGGGGGTAGAGCAGATGCCTTGCATAGCTAATCCAGTTTCAAGTCCTTCCACTGATACAATTAAAAGCTTGCAACTGTATAATTAAGGAAATTCTCCATCTGCCAGCATAAATCTATGCTTTGATTATGCGAAAAGCAGGTACAACAACATTTCTGTTCTTCACAGACAGCCGTGAAGTTCAGATGTAGGAGCTGAGAAAGAGAAAGCTGGGGAAAAGGGAGTGGAAATCCTATTCTTAGAAACAGACAAAATTAGATGTTAAAGGTATTTCAATCCACTATTTTTTTTTTTTTAAAAAAAAACTTTCCTGTCTTTTAGTGACAAAGGCATTTTGCCTGAGAGCAATGGCTGTCAAAGAGGTGACCCCCAACTGGATGCTTTGATGTAGTTTCCTCCCAGCCAACAAGTTGTAAATCCATGAATGGTGAATAGATAAAGGGACAATGATTTGGGGGAATGGCACAACTCCAGTGTCTGCAATACCACACCTGAGTCAGTCTGGAATAATGGTTAAGGAACCGAACTGGAAACTGGGAGACTGGGAGTTCTAGTTTTCCCTTAGACATGGAGTATACCTTTGGGTGAGCTGCTGTTTCTCAGCCCAACAGAGTGGTTATTATGGGGAAACCAAACTTAATTATACAAAATAAAGGCAGGCTATACATCTAATAAATAAATATGTTCTTAATCATTTTCTTTCTCTTTCTTTCCCTTCTTCCCATGATTCTCAGTAGAATTACACAGTGCATAATTGCCTGCTTAGCAACCGCCCTTTCTTTATTCATCCCTTCTTCCCTGCAGCAATGCCCAGCAGGGGTTTCTTAGCAGCCCAGCTGGAACTCATCTTACCTGCCTCTGATGCTCTCGATCTCGCCTAGACCCTTCCTCCCTCCCTGCCAGCCAAAAATGTATCCAGTGCTGAGTGCTTAGTGCCTCCCAGTGTTTTATGCTCAGCCACTCAGCCAATTACTCGCCTGAAGCTAATCTGCTGGCAAGACTCCCTCAGCCGAGACTACAAAAAGAATTGCCAAAAAAATGTATAACCCTGAGGCCCAAAATGCAGGTGCACAACCAAGCTGAGGCAGCTGGCCACAGTGTTAAAGATCAGCTTTATGAAAGAACATGTCTAGGCTTCTTTAAAAAGCCAAGGTGGACCCTGGCCTGTCAAAAGTTCTTTGCTATGAAACGAATGGAGTTTCCAGCTGTACAGAAATACTATAGCTCCTAATACTAAGCAAGTGCTGCATTCACGAGGTGTGGGGGGGAACCATTGTCTTCCTATTGCGACTATGGATTTGGAGGCATCCATCTTGTCACTGTTGGAACTGGGAGGTTAAAATAGTGAGCCAGTCTCTGACCCAGCAAAATATTTGTTTGGGGGGAAGGACTGCATTTGTTCACAAACTACTTATTTGAGAAGAATAATTTTCATGCAGATTAGCATTCCTGGCCAGTTTTCTTAGAGAAACAGTAAAAGGGGTGGGAATAAGGTTTTCAGTGCAAAGTAGTTCTTTGTTTTCTAGTTGTATTACCTTTCCTGTACTGTCCTTCCACAGGTAAGATTACTCCTCTTTGCCCACAGCATTCCCCAGTGGGAGATGCCATGCCCAAATAAATAGGGAATCCCATCTGAAGCCTCACTGACCCATGAGGTGGACACAATGGATGGATAGAAAAACTGTCACCTCCCAAAATATTGATTTGGGATTGTCCTTATAGATCAAGATAAGGAACAGCTTTCTATTTTCTTATTTATGCGCAAAATGTCATGAGATTACTTATGTATAAAATGTCATGTCATGAGAGTGTAACTCACTCAAAAACACAGCAGAAAAATAAGGGGCTGTCCTAGTCCCCCATGGCTGGACACTATAAAGGATATCACCAGGATGACCATGGCAGATCTGAAGGAGGCGGTGAGAGACAGAAGGACATGGAGAGTGCTGATCCATAGAGTTGCCAAAAGTCAGTCACCACTGAATGACTGACAATGATGATAACGTATAAAATGTGCTGCTAGTTTCCATCATAGCCTATCAAAACTCCATAAGGGGCATTTGGGAGGCAAATAACAAAATTTATATCATAAATGTACATTGAGACATCACAATTCAAATCCATACTTACATACTTTCATCAAACATCCAGATGCAAGTAGGTAAGGGTAGAGTTTGGGTAATGATGTTAGCCCACATGTATTATTTTGACACTATCTTGGTTTGCCCAGATGTCTATAAGGGATGTGATCCAATAACATCTGGAAGACCACCTCCACCACAGATATAAGGTCAGTCTCAGCTGATGGTTACCAGCAGTGCTTTTATTAGCAAGCATTCCCAAGTATCTCCCTCTCTCCACTGAACTATTTTACTGTCACTCAGTTATAGCATATACACAGTTAGCATAGATCAGATGAGCTAAAAACAACCATGCTCATGGCTTGAGAAAGAAGAACAGAAGAAGACTGGAAGAGAAAAGCTAGCCATGTAATGTCTGCATGCTTAAATGAGCTTGGAGGCAAACCATGAAGTCAGGGGATATCCAGGTTGTCAATCTGAATTGGTGACATTCCCATGCTGAGAATCATGGCAGAAAGCGGGCATAAATACCAAGAATTCAAGGCTGGCCTAGAAATACACTAATTCTAAGAAGCTCCATTCCGTGGTTTAAGAGCTGGACACCAATTCTTCTGCGTCCCAAGATGCTTCTGTTGGACCATGGAGGCCGCTTGACAGTTTGCCGCTTATAAAGCACCTGCTTGGATTAGTTGTGCCGTGAGACATGCCTCTCCCCTCTGTTTGGAGGTGGTGACAGAAAGACTGAAAGAGAGAGAAAAGAAAGATCAAGTTCTGTGGTTTGGTGGGATTAGAGGACATTCAAGGACTTGATTAACTAACACTCAGACAGAGAGACTTTCCAGAGTCACCCTTTGCTGCCTGGCACATGCTGGATCCATCTGGAGGGGAGGAGAGGGGACAGGAGGTGAGGGAGGGGCAAGGGCAGGACAGGTACAATCTATGGGGGTGCCAAGCTCCACATAGCTCTTTCCAGGGATTTGAAGTATAGCAAAGTCACCTCCTGTTCCGAATATGTTATTATTATCTGGGCTGAAACTTGAGCAATCCAGATTCTAGAGCCTGTAGCGAGGAGAAGGAAATGTTCCTTCAAAATGTTTCACGTCACCCTGGAGAGATTAGGATCAGTTTGGTGAATGGAAAGGAGAGAGAAAAGCACCAAAGGAAGGAGAGAGTCCAAGGTCAACTATACACAGAGTAAACCTGACTACACCAAGCTCTCAAGCTATGTTGAAGAACTGATAGAGAACAAAATAATGAGGGTGCCAATATAAGCCATAAGTGCGTTTAGATCCCTCATTATTTCTCATACTCAGAAAGCCTGGATATACATAGTGGCTGGCTTCACACAATGCAGTAAGACAAACCTAAGCAAACTATATTTTGGCTTAATATGTTGGGCGAACAATTGATGGGATCTCAGCCACTGAGTGCTGCAAGGGATCTTGGGACAGCCTCCTGAATAAAGCACAGCTATTAGACATGACTAATTTTTTGGATCTACATTGAGAACCAGATAAGATAGCCAGTTTGGTCTAGTAGTGAATTCTAGAAACCAGAAAACTGAATTCTAGTTCCACTTTAGGCATGAAATCCAGCTGGGTGATTTTGTGCTAGACATTCTCAACCTATAATGTCAGGCTCAGTTAACGAGCCAATCAGTCAATTCTTGTTGCAACTAATGGATCAATACTTGACTGATCAAAAAAAAAAAAAAGCCAATCCTACACTTGTAGAAAAACACAAGGAAGGAAATAATTGAGAACCACATGGCAGAGAAACTTGCTCCCAGCAATACACCTTAGGATTCAATCCCTGTACCACACTCACTGAATAATTCACAAATGAAAACATTCAGGTATTTTAGCATCTATATATCCTTAATGGGTTGGTTTACACATCACATTAAGCCACAATTTGCTTTAATCACATTGTGTTTATTAAGCCTCAGAGGGTGGATTCACATGTTGCACTACACTATAACTATAGCACAATGGCTGGATTCAATTGTTGTGCCAAGGCAAAACTAAACAATCTACAATCTATAGGCTGGCTTCACTATACCATGATGACTGCCTCCTTTTCTTCCTCTATTTTGCCTTCAAGTCTGACTTAACTCCTGAAGGAAACATGTTCAGAAGTGGTTTGCTAAAGCCAACAAGACACACATCATTGGACAGTGAATTTCATAAAGTGTCAGGCCTGCCCCAGTCTGCTTTCTCATGAAAGTAAGACTTGTGACTCCATTTAGTTGAAGCAAAGGAACTTTTACTGTAAGAAACTGGTTGTAATAAAGTCAGGTGGAATCTGGTGTTCCCACACAAAATACAAAGCTATTCTTTCCTATTGTCCCTCCCTCCCTGCATGACCAATCCCCCGGCCAGCCAATGAGATGCTGGTAAGATGTTTTGAGAAACTCTGGGATGTGAAACTGGTAACATTCCATTCTCAGGGCAAATGGCCTTGAAAATCCTGTACAAGCTAGTTTGGTGATCTGGTCTTCCATTGTCACTTCCCCCCTCCCCATTTCCCACCATTAGATACACAGGTGTGGATTGCCCCAAATGCCTCTGCCTCCCTTCCTCTTTGATGGCAGGAACCCAGCAAGGCACCAGGCTGATGTTGGAGATCCTGACATGCTGCCCCCCTTGACAAGGATGTTAGTCCTGGAAAAGAAGAGAGAGAGAGAGGGAGGGAGAGAGAGAGAGGAAAATCAGGATAAAATCATTTGGGTTGTCAGAGTATTGATTGTGGAAGCATTTAAGGAGTTTGAGGGCATTAACATGTTTGAGGTCCAGCCACTCCATTTTGGAAGGAGGAAAGTATGTCCATGCCAGTAGGTACTGGAACTTCCTGTGGTGTTTGCGGGAATCCAGAATTTCAAAATGGTGCTCCCCTTTGATCATAAGAGTCTCAGGTGGAGGTGGTAGCATTGGGCGCAGAGGGGGAGAACGCCTCAGGTTTCAGCAGACTGCAGTAGAAAATCGGGTGGATGCACCTAAGTGATTTGGGAAGTTCAAGTTCTACTGTGACTGGGTTAATCAGGCATTTAAAGGGAAAAGATCCAACATACTTGGGTCCCAGTTTTTTCGAGGATTGCAAGTACTTGGTAGATAAATAGACCTGATCCCCTACATTGAAGTCCTTAGGCTCCGAGGGTTTTTTGTCTGCTTGCTTTTTATAGGCATCCCTCACCTTTTCTGGTGATTTTCTAGCCAGTGGCCAGATGTTTTGTAATTGGATCACCCAGTCTTTGAGAGAGGTGACAGAGGGGGTGGCCATGGGTAATGCAGGTATTGAGGCAAAATCTTGGCCCATGGCCAGTTTGAATGGCGTAAAGCCTGTGCTGCTATGACGGAATTATTGTATGCTACTTTGGCAAATGGGAGGAGCTCCGACAAGTTGTCTTGCTAGTAGTTTACATAACACCTGAATTACTGCTTTAGAACCCTATTGGTCCATTCACACACCCTATTAATGTGGGGGTGATGACTGACCCTTAGCCCCTGGGAGGTCCCTAAAAGTCCGAGAAACTCCTGCCAAAATTTTGAGGTGAATTGCACTCCATGATTGGAAATTATTCGTTGCAGAGCCCCACGCAATATATAGACATGTTGAATGAAAAGTTTAGCCAAGGCATGGGTGGATGGGATCTTTTGGCAGGGCATGAAATGTACTTGTTTGGAGAATAGGTCCGTTATGACCCAGATCACTATATTTCCTGAGCTCTCAAGGAGTTCTACAATAAAGTCCATGGAAATTTCTTTCTTTGGAGTGCTAGGCTCCACTACTATTTGAAGGAGCCCCGGTGTTTTCTCTTGCCATTGTTTGGTCGAAGCACATACTGGGCATCTTGCCACCTACCCTTCA